GAATGGATGGTTGTTTTTGTAAAAGTCAACCGGAAACCATTCACACTGGCAGACTCGCCAGTGTCCTCATGTGACTCTAGCCTTTAGATGCCAACAAAGTCAAACAATTGAGGCTTTCCCCATACACTTACAGAGTACACTGATTTTACCTGGTCTTCACCTTGTCTTTCTTGCATTTGAGAAATGAAGATGCTGACCTCTGGGAGGAAAATACTAGGGTTTATTTATAAAAAAATTAGGGCGAGAAAAGAACCTTTAGTGCCAACTGGATGGATGCTAAATGGATAGAGATATCTGTGCATTAAAATATCTATTAGATTACAAACTTATTTGGAAAATAGTTACACCACAGTTTATGTACTATGTGATATGCAATTATTCCATAAATCACTACCTATTGGTTCTTCATCAAAGCAAAGTACTGGAACAATTTTGGGTGCTGGATGTATGCAAGTTGGAACTTGGCTCATACTAGGAAAATCACATGGCTTGAGCTGACTTGCTGAGGTCTCTTTGTAAGTACAGGAAAACTGAGATTTTATTAAGTTCTGCTTCAGCTGGGAGGAAAGAAAAAACAAAAACAAATGAAGTTTAAAAAACAATCAAATCAAGATTTAAAAAAAAAAAAAGGGGGAGGAGAGACAAAACACATTTCTAAACTCAAAAATAAAATAAAAAAAACTTAAGGCAAAAAATATTTTAAAATTGAACGTATGGAAAGTGAGTCCACTGTATTTCCCATATAAAGTTTAATACGCAATTCATGTTTCACTGGTCAAGTTGAGATTTTAAAATATATTCCCTAGATTTTGCAACAAGACATTATCTGGTCTGACTAGACATAAAAAGACATTGGGAACCAGAGAAAGTTTTGCATTCGTTCATTACAATACCTTAGGTTTGTCTTTGTTACTGCATTTCTGGGCCCGCTGGAAAAGAGATTTGGGAGAAGATCCACCATACTGTTCAGGAGTCCTAGTTATTCAAATCCAAAAAGAGATCACCAAACCAATTAGAGATTTTTTTTTTTTATCTTTAAAGGAAGAAGGAAATCATGGTTGATGGTGAGGGAATGATGTTCAAAGTAGTATTTGGCTAGTCTCCCTTTTTCTGTAACATTTTACATGTGCCAGGAAAATTTGGTATTGCATTTGTGAGTGAAAACTGTCAGATTCTGGAGAAAACTGAACCTTATAGTTGAAGCCCCCCCAACAAAAATATAATCTATGTATATTAGCCAGCTTG